TTGCTTTAGCTATATGGGTCTTCTCTGATTCCATATGAAGTGTAGAATTATTTTTTCTAGATCTGCGAAAAATAATACTGGTATTTTAATAGGGATTACATTGACTTTGTAGATCACTTTGAGTAGTATAGACATTTTAACAATGTTGATTCTGCCAATCCATGAGCATGGTATGGTTTTCCATCTGTTTACATCCTCTGCTAATTCCTTCCCCAGTGTTTTGTAGTTTTCCCTGTAGAGGTCTTTCACCTACTTAGTTAAATATATTCCTTAGTATTTTATTTTCTTTGTTGCTATTGTGAAAGATATTGAGTCTTTCATTTGGTTCTCAGTTTGACTGTTGTTGGCATACATGAATGCTACTGATTTATGTACATTAATTTTGTAACCTGAAACTTTACTGAACTTATTTATAAATTCCATTAGTCTCTTGGCAGAATCTTTGGGGTTTTCTAAATATAAGATCATAGCATCAGGAAAGAGTGATAATTTGACCTCTTCTGCCCCCATTTGGATGCCCTTGATTTCCTTCTCTTGCCTGATTGCCCTGGCTAGGACTTCCAACACTATGTTGAACGGAAGTGGTCATAGAGGGCAACATTATCTGGTTCTAGTTCTAAGTGGAAATGCTTTCAATTTCTCCCCATTTAGGATGATGTTGGCTGTGGACTTGTCATATATGGCTCTTATCATTTTGAGGTAAGTCCTGTCTATGTTTATTGTATTAAACGTTCATATCATAAAAGCGTGCTGAATTTTGTCAAATGCTTTTTCTGTGTTTATTGAGAGGGTCTTATGGTCTTTGTTTTTACTTCTGTTTGTGCAGTGAATTGCATTTATAGATTTGCCTATGTCAAACCGTCCCTGCATCTCTGGGATCAAGCCCATTTGGTTGTGATGGATCATTTTTTTGATAAGCAGCTGAATTCAATTTGCTAGGATTTTATTAAGAAATTTATGCATATATATTCATAAGAGATATTGGTCTGTAGTTTTCTTTTTTCTTTGAGTCCTTTCCTGGCTTTGGTAGCAGGGTGATGCTGGCTTTGTAAAATGTGTTGGGGAGGATTCCTTCCTTCTTGATGTTATGGAATAATTTCTGCAAGATAGGCATATTCTTCTTCATAGGTCTGATAGAATTCAGGTGTAAAACCATCTGTTCCAGGATCTTTTTTGTTTGTTTGTTTGGTATTGATGCTTCAATTTTGGTACTTGATATTAATCAGTTCGAGAGTTCTATTTCTTGATTGAGCCTAGGGAGGCTATGTATTTCTAAGAATTTGTCCATTTCCTCCACATTTTCAAGTTTATGTGCATAGAGATTTTTGTAGCATTCAGAGATGGTATTTTGTATTTCCAGGGTATCAGTTATAATTTCTCCTTTTTCATTCCTGATTGATCTTATTAGAGTACTTTCTTTTTTGCTTCTGGTTAATCTAGCAAGAGGCATGTCAATTTTATTTATATTTTCAAAGAACCAGCTTTTTGTTTCATTAATCTTCATATAGTTGTTTTATTATTAATTTCATTTAGTTCTGCCCTGTTCTTGGTTATTTCTCCTCTTCTGCTGGGTTTGGGATTGGTTTACTCTTCCTTTTTCAGTTCTTTGAGTCCATTCCTTAGATTGTTCATTTGTGATCTTTCTTTCTTTGGATGTAAGCATTTATGGCTATGTATTTATTTTCCTCTCAGGACTGCTTTAGCTGTGTCCCACAGATTTTTATATCTTGTGTCCCCTTTATTATTTAGTTCAAAGAATCTTTTTATTCCATTGCTCAGCAGGAGGTTGTTTAGTTTCCATGACTTTGTGTAGAGATGAGACTTTCTGTTGGAGTTGACTTCACATTTTATTCCACTATGGTCTGAGAAGATGTGTGGTATAATTTCTATTTTTTAAAATTTATTGAGGCATGTTTTGTGGCCTTTGTTGTGGTCAGTCTTAGAAAATGTCCCATGAGCTGCTGACAAGAATATATATTCAGTGTTTTTTGGGTAGAAAGTTCTTTAAATGCCTTTTAAGCCCATTTGTTCTAGAGTTCTGTTTATGTCCATTGTTTCTTTGTTTATTTTCTGTTTGGAGGATCTGTCCTGTTCTGTCAGTGGGGTGTTGAAGTCCCCAGCTAATACGGTGCTGTTGTTTATCATTTTGTTTAGATCAAGTAAGATTTGCTTTATGAATGTGAGTGCACCTGTGTTGGGTGTGTGAATATTTAGAATTGTTGAATTGTTCCCTTTACCATTATATAATGACCATCTTTGTCTTTCATTACTTTTGTTGATTTGAAGACTAGGTTATCTAATATGAGAACTGCTACCCCAGCTTTCTTTTGGTTTCCATTTGCATGTCATATTGTTATCCATCCCTTCACCTCGAGTCTGAATGAGTCCTTTGAGTTAGAGGTGTTTCCTGAAGACAGCAGATACTTGGATTCTGTATATTTTTCCATTCAGCCAACCTATGTTTCTTCAGTGGGCAGCTCAAGCCATTCATGGTTATCGAAAAAATTGATAATTGGGGTGGATTTCTGTTCATCCTGTTGAGTAGAATTTTGTTGCTTTGTTTTGTCTCTTGAGCCATTGTGGTATCTGGCCTTTGACCTTCAACTTTTGTATGATTTTACACTGATGAGTATCTCTTGTGCTGATCTGTGTGTAATGCAGTTCTGAGTACTTCCTGCAGGGAAGTTCTTGTCTTAACAAATTCCCTCAGTATTTGCTTGTCTGAGAAAGACTTTATTTCCCCCCATATATGAAACTTAATTTTGCAGGATAGAAAATTCTAGGGTGGGCATTATTCTGTTTAAGAAGAGTGAAAATGGAGCCCCAATCCCTTCTGACTTATAAGCTTTCAGTTGAGAAGTCTGCAGTTAGTCCGATGGGTTTTTCTTTGTAAGTTACCTGCTGCTTTCACCTTATGGCTTGTTTCCAGAAGTTCTGTTTGGTTTTTCTTTAATATTTCAATGTCTTTAGTGAATTCTTCATTCATTTCCTGCATTGTCTTTGTGGGGTTTTTTTGTGGTTTCTTTCTGTTGGGTTTCCATTTTATCTTGCATTTCATTGAGCTTCCTTACAATTGTGTTCAAAATTCTTTCTCTGTCATTTCAATATTCTGATTTTGGTTGGTATCCATTGCTAGAGAGCTGGTGTTCCCAACAAAAGGGGCTCTCCTTTTGTTTTGATTCTTCCTACTCCCAGAGTTCTTTTGCTGATCCCTTCTCATCTAGAGCAGCTGTTGCTTCTTACTTTTGGATTTTCTTTTATTTAGATAATGACATGCCCAGTTTAATCTCTGAGCCAGTAGGTGGTGGTTGTGTGTGAGTATCAACCACACTTTGTATGATGAGTTAGTAAATACAGTAAAAGAGCATTCAAATTGACCTCCCTGTCAGTAGGTGGTGCTTGCCAGAATGAATATGCTGCAATGTTGTTTTGGGGTCCTCTGACAAGCTCTGATTCCTCAGGAGAAGCACTCTAGTGCCTCAGGTGTTGGGTGGGGCCCTAGGACATCCAGGTGTGTCCTTTTCTCCACCTCAACAGGGACCGGTGGGGGAGTGAGGCTGGGTGGGGCTGGGTTGAGTGATCCTGCCCTCAAGCTCCACAAATGCTTTTAGTAGGGGTCAAAGTTATGTTCCCCACCTCTCAGCAAAGCTGCCAGGGACAGGTTGAAGTGGCCCACTCAACCAGAAAGTCTACTTGTGGAGGTGGGCCCATCTGAGCCCTGCAGTCTGGGAGTCTGGAGTAGGCCTTGCTTTTTTCCACCCTCCCCTATTCCAATTTCTCCTGGGCCTCTGCTGTCAGGCAGGATCTCAAGCCAGCCGAGCTTTCCCACAACTTTGATGCAGGCTGGGAGGTTCCCTTCCTAGGCTTGGAGTTTGGCCATCCTGTGGGAGGAGGGGTGCCCCTCGAATACGCTGCAGCTAGGACCTCCTCTGCACGGTTACCCCTGATCTGCCCCTGCAGGCACCCACACCTCCCGAGACTAATTCAGATATCCCTTCTGTACCCCCGGGCAATGCAATCAAGACCCGGGTATACAGGATCTGGCCTGCAAGCCTGTCTCCCAGGCCCCGGAGATCAAACCCTGACCATGCCGGGGAGAAGGATACTGGTCCCAAGTTTCTCTCATGGGGTGCGCAAGGCGATTCAATGTTCCTCCACCTTGGGGTGTGTCCTACTCTGCTGGAGTCCCTGGGCATGCAGCACCAGGGAGGGCCTGCAGGCAGAGATCTCACAGTCTGAGCACCCCTTAGTCTGTTGCAGGACCCCAAAAAGAAAGATCTGAGCCCCATTCTCTCTGTAAGTCTCCATGTAGTGGCTCAATTGTCTCTCTTAGCAGTCACGGGTTGGGGAGGGGAAGGGGGAAAAGAGTGTAGGTGGAGGAAAGTCCACCCTCTGGTCATCTCCAACCCTTTCTCCAGGAGGCAGTCCACCCGGAATGATGGGGCTCTGGAGTCATGAAGATCACCTGGGACCCAATGGATCCCTGTGGCTCTGGGCAAGAATTGGGAAATGTCTGTGTGGGGACAAGCAAGATCGAACCTGAGGGGTTGAGGCCCCCTGGGGAGAACAAAGTCGCTTGGTGGGTAGGGAAGGAATATGGCACCTGCCATCCGGCTCAGGTTTTTGGGGCAGGAGGCACCCCAATTGGTGGGGAGGGCTAGGACCCTGGTGCCCTCTCTGCAAGAAACTCTGCACTCACTGGCAGCAGCCATCTCTGGGCTTGCTTTGGCAGAAGGTCTCTCCAGCAGATGGGGAGCCCACCAACTGCTGGAGATACAAGGAAGGGGTATGTTAGCTAATCTACCTGCCCTTCTCTCTGTTCTCTGAGCCTTTCAGGGCTTAATCCCCACTGATTCCTTTCTCCTTCCAGTTCTGCTCCACAACCTCTTCCCGTGGAATCTCATATAGGTTCAGACACCCTTCCTTCAGACCCTCTTCGAATCTATGTCTGTCTGTTTGTTTTTTCTCTTTCACCAAAAACTTTTTCTTCTTACAGAGATGCTCTGGCTGGTGGTATCTTTGGTCTGGCATCTTCCAGCCCTGTTATTTTTGGAATGCAAAATTCCATTATTCAGGGATTATTTTTAGGAATGCTATACTACATTATAGGACAAGCAACTGTATTCATTGTAGTTACTGGTTTAGCACATCCTCCTACCAGTCTGACTTCTGAGAGTCCTAACAGTTCCTCCCTTCACAACTGCAGAAGATGGTGTCACATGGGAGATACTATAAAATAAGTATGTTGTGATCTCCTTGTCCTGCCTGGGTCGGAGTAGAGAGCACCTCACTGTAATGCCTCGTGAATGAGCATAGTGACAAACTGTTGCCAGAGATGTTCCTCATCTCCAGGCATAGAATGTCTCCAAGGTTTAATTATGACCTAGCAGGTAGGCCAAGATAAAGCTAGGTTTTAAAGCAGGTCTTTACAAACATTCTTTGCCCAGACTTCCATCCTTTCCTTATCCTAATTCCTACTCTAAATTAACAAAATGACTACCAAAAACTATGATTGGCGAGATTAATAAATAACATCTTTTGGTTTAAACAAACTGGACCATTTGCTGGCCCAAAGGCTTGGGTTGGTGGTAGTGAAGTAATGCTGCCATCTTTATTTTATTTTATTTTATTTTTTTGTAGAGACAGGGTCTTACTGTGTTGCTCAGGCTGGTCTTGAACTCCTGGACTTGAGTGATCCCCCTGCCTCAGCCTCCCAAAGTGCTGGTTATTACAGGCACCACACCCTGCCTAATGCTTCCATCTTTAAAAGTGAACAAAGGGCAGGATTTTGTTTTACTTGTAAGGTTTAATGTGGATGAAGGAGGTTTAAAAAAATATGCATGGAAATTGCAGTTTATCATATTTCTATTGTAATTCCTCTCCTTTACTGCTGATTCCCTCCACGCCAGATGTAGACACTGTCACTATGCATGCATCTCATCTTTTTTCTATGCTGCAGTTGACTGATTTGTTTTCCTCCCTTCTCTTGGAAAAGGGGGTTAGTACCACCTTCAGCCAAGAACAACATTAACTCTCCAAGTCTCTCCTGGCTAAAAATTTTCCTGTGGAACAGGTAGCAAGGGCTGAGTCTACAAAGCCTAGAAGCCCCAGGAGAGATTCTGCTGCCAATCTCCACAATGCGGAGTTTGAATTGGATAAAACCCTATTTAAGAAGGTCTGATCTTTCCAAGCAGACATTAAGGCTCCATTTCAACTTAAAGACAAGGTCTTGCAGAGAAATGGTATTTCTCCCACTTTGCCCAAAATTCTAAAATAGGAGAGTTGAGTAGTTTTGCAGCATCACTACTGCTCAGGGCTTCACCTTGGAAGAATGTAAATCTGAGATCGACTACCAGTAAAACAGACGGTCAACTCCACCTGAAGGCCAACTTTTACTAGACCAGCTGCTGGGAAGGTTAGGGTATATTTTCCACATGAAGACAGCATAAACAAGACCTCTGAAGGAGACACACATTTGTATCAGTGCCATCTAGTCCACGGGAAACTCTTCGATTTCAAACAGATCTTTACCTCAAGACTTAACTCTGTTTTCACTTTTCAATTCCAAAGTTAATGCCTATTAAAACCTTGCAAACAGTGGCTGCTAGAAGACCTATTTGTGGTGGAACACCTGTGCTTTGTAAGTTGATGTTATGGAGCCCAGCCCATCAACCTGTATTAAGTTGTTGAGAATCAACATTTTGAAATTATGATGCCATTTGGCATCTTCTTTAGAAATCACTAAACTAAAAAGAGTCTAGTTATTTAGAGGAAATTCTGAATATAAAGCATCTGTCTTTTACTTTTTGGCAGAATCACATAATCCAAATAAAATATTTGTATAACCTGTTAGAAGAGTATTACCAGTTATTTTACTACTAGAGTGGTGTTACCAGCATAATGTATATGCAGAGCCAGTAAATCATGGAGAAATGTATTTGCATTTTTCAGAAAATTTGATTTAGAAGTCTAAACCTTGGAAGCAGTGATTAAGTAGCCAACTCTCCAATCTATATTAACAAGGAAGCAGCTGCTATATTTCATTCAGTCATTAAACCAATATTTATGTCCCAGAAACTATTCTAGGTGTTTGAGATACATACGTGAACAAAACAAAGTTTCCTGTTATCATGGAGATACATTTTGGTGAAGGGAGGCAAATAACAAACATGATATGTAATATGCAAGTTATATCAAATGTAAGTTATATACAAGTTATATTAGTAGGTGTGCGGGATTTCTCAGCTATTACCACAATAATCCTCCATGACACCACCTCAAAACAATATTTTTTTTCTCATGTGTGCAAGAAGGCTATAGCTCAGCTGATTTTGGCCAGGCTCAGCTGGGTTCAGCTGTTTCAAACTATAGCTTGGGTCCAGGTCTAGTCCATGTGGCCCTGACTATCTTTAGGCCAGTGGCTACCTAAAGCATGTTCTCAGGGTGAAAGGCAGGACAACAAGAGAGCAAGCCTAATAACTGTGCAAGCCTGTTTCAAACCTCTGCTTGCATTACATGCACTAGCATTCCACAGGGCAAGGTAAGTCAAAGTCAAGGGCTTGGGAGGTAGTTACCTAGCATGGAAGTGGTGGAAAGGGGTATGGAGGAGTAGATTTTTATATATATGTAAAATTTACTCAAAGTGCAATGAGAAGAGGGCTAAAGGGCATCAAAAATGCTGAGGGTAAAACATGTTAACAATAAAGGTTGATATTTAAGCTTGAAGGAAGGGAGAATATCTGGGGAAGGAGAATTCCAAGTATACAGGAGCAGCTAATGCAAAACATCCCTGACATGAGCAGGGCTCACATCTTCAGAGAACTACACAGAGACCAGTGTGGTGTGGCTGAAACAGAGTGAACCGGGAGTAACAGGAATATAATCCAGAGAGGTAAAGATGAGACTTCATGCCAATGTAAGAACTTCGATATTTTGAAAGAAGTAACATAAAATGACTTGTCTTTGAAAGCATCACGATGGCTGGAATATGGGCAACGGCCTGTAGGGAGTTAAGGATAAAAGCAGAGAGGAGCAAAAGGGAAGGCCTACTGGACCACCGTGGCAGCAGTGGAAGTGGGGAGAAGAAGCCCCTGAGGTTAGGAGTCAACGCCCTGAGGAGCAAGCCTTGACCAGCTCGGGGTTCAGGAGCCAGCGAAGGAAAGCTTCAGCCTCCCATCCTCTAGGGAACAATTCTAAGAAGCATTCTCTCACTTCTCAGAGGTCATGGTGGAACCAAATCCCCACTGCCTAAAGCACAGCTCAGATAATGCAGCTATATATTGTCTTTTCTTTGCTCCCTGTCTCATCCTCTTTGCTCCCTCACTGCAATTTCCTTGGATCAATTCCCAGATAAACTACCTGCACCCAAATATTTGTTTCGTGTTCTGCTTTCAGAAGAACTCAAGCTGAGACATGCTGTAGTCCCATTTCACATTGAAGCTAGGCAGATATTTCTAACATAGAGGTCACCTCGTATCACTCCAAAACCAAAATACTTAGTGATTCCCCATCACCTAGTCCAAAATCCACACACCTTAGCAAGACCTATAAGACCCTTTAGGTGTTTGAGATACATAGGTGAAAAACCTCTAAGGTTTTTCTAATCCTACCTATCCATCTTCATCTCCATCTACTCCTATTTTGGGACTTTACATTCCAGTCCCTCCTAAACATTGGTAATTCCAAACAATCATGCTCTCAGCCACCATGCCTTGTTTTATGCTTGGAACAACTCCCTCCAGTTCTCCTCTGTCTACCCTATCTTCCCAATGTCTCATACATCTCAGTTCTTCTCAGGCAGCCTTAGGTATTTCTTTTCCTTTATTATCTCTGTTCCTTGTATATATGCCCATCATAACCATTCCCTTCTTGTGTTATATTGCTTCTCTCTCCACTGACAAGTTGAGCTTATTGGGAGCAGAAAATGTGTTTTTTCTCCTCCTCCTTCTTATTTTTTGCTTATCCCCAGCACCTAGCACAGTCCTAGCACAGTGTAGGCTAGGAAACATCTACAAGAGTTCTTGGCACATAGTAAGTCCCTAATAAATGTTTGTTGCATGAGTGATGGCAGGTTTATTATAGCAATGCTAACTAATGTAACACACACTTTTCTGAGCTGTGGCACAATAAAATTTCTTCCTTGTTCACATAACAATACAATGCAGGTGTTCCTGATCAGTCGCTGGCCTTCCACAAACTCGTTCAGAAACCCAAACACGTTCCATCCTATCACTCCACCC